ATTTTACAGGATCCACCAAACTTTCTAAATTTTCCTAAGAGAGTATATGGCTAGACATACGCAGCAAAAACACATACTGCAGTCCTCAGAATGGGTGGACCAAAAGTTAAGGAGTCCACTGCCATCTCCCACCCCTAACTCTCTACATGAAGGGATCCTTAGCACGGTCTTCCATGACACATCACTGGGGGCGCAGGAAGCAGGAAAGCTTGGCACCTGGTACGGTGAGGTCATGGGCATTTCCCTAGCCCCACCCTGGTATTCAGAACTGACCTCTACTTTACTTTCCAAATTCCATCCATTCCCCACTTCTGTCCATTCCAAACATAAATTATTTCCTTTTATTACCACTGTCTTTAAAAATGTCCTCATCATTTCTTGGGAAGTATTATAATCTAGTGTTAGTACCCTGGGTTCAAATTCAACTCTCACTTAACCAGTTATGTGAATTTGAGTCAGTTATTTAAGTTTTCTAAGTCTTAGTTGACTCAATTTTAAGATGTGCACAATCATAGCACTTATCTCCCAGGTACAAATTGTGAATATTCAATGACGATATAAGAAGAGGACTTCACACAATACATCGAGCTTAATACGTATCAAAATTCAATAAGTATAAGCTAAAATCAATCCAGATTAGGCTTTTTCTAATTAAAACACACACACACACATACACACACACACACACACCCCTGATTTGGTATTTGCATCAGGAATGCAAATTTATAGATATAATCAAAATATTTGATGACAGGAAAATGGTTAAATAAATTATGATACATGCATGTTATGGAATGGCATATAGCAATTAACAATAATGAAAGCTTATCCTTTCTTAATACAGATATGACCACAAGATACTGATTTTAAAAAAGCTGATTGCTAAAGAGCATATAATTGGCCACTGCTCGACCTCATGAATCTCAGACGTATAAACATACTCTAATAACATTAAAAACAAAATTTTCCCTTCACACTCCCTTCTCATCTCCCACTCTTCCTTGACCACAAACATCCAGACACTTCTTTACCTTCTATCACTCTTTAGGTTTGTCTTCTGCACCTAAAACTTTACTGCAACTATTTCAATTGACAAAACCTATGACGTCTCTTCAGTATTTATCCTACTGAAGGATTTATCCTTAGCCACCTTGACATTGTTAATACTCCTTCTTTAAATAAAATCACATCCTGTGGCTTCTTCTTCCCTTTCTGTCTACTCCTTTCTTATCTTCTACTTGCATTTTAAGTGAAGACATACACTGGGGTTGCCTCTCCTCAACCCTCTTCTCTCTTTGCTCCACATCATTTCCATAGTCTGCAACTCACTGCTTGATTTGAACTATCATTCATCTAAACACTAGTGATTCGTAATTCCCAGCTCCATTTTCAGCCCTATCCTTGATCTTGCTCCAGAGGATCAGACTCAGGTTTCCAGCTGCTTATCTCTTTTCAACTCGGCTATTTAAGAGAATATCCCTTTCACCTCTCTCAAGTAAGAGTATCATGAGACACCTCGTTACCAATCTAGACAACCTGTGATCATTATTAACTCCTGTCATCCTCTAGCCTTTCACATCTAATTCATGACCATATGCCAATAATTTTATCTCAATTACATACCTGCCTCTCCATTCATAGAGCCTCTATCTTGGAGAAGATCTTCATTTGGACTCTTGGACTACTGTAATAATTTCCTAAATGGTCTCTTTATATCAGCCTCTCACAACTCAAAGACTTCCTACATACTGCATTTTGATAATAACTCTAGAAACAAACCAAATCCTTATCTTGTCACTCTCTTGTATGAAAGCCTTCTCCACAGGCTCATTACTGGTCACAGAATCCTGGGTTGGCTCACTAGGCCTGTCACAATATGGCTCATACAACTTCTCCATCTTCATCTCTTATGTATTCCCCTGTGCATGTGAAGCAGCCATCAAATTGAGCACCTTAACAGTCCCCAAACAAGATCTATTACTACTTGCCCCCATGCCTTTGTGTTTGACATTCCCTTTGATTGGAATATTATTCCATTTTCTTTGCCTAATAAACTCCTATTCTTCCACCAATAACTTTGAGAAGTCTTCTTTGATGCTTTGTGGCAAATTCAGAGCCTCACTCTTTGTAGCCCCGCTGTACTTGACAAGTGTGGTGCTTCTCACTTTATGAGGCCTCCGGTTCCTCTTTCCCCAAATGATTGCACGCTAGTTAAGGACAGCAGCCATGAGCCTACTACAGCAAATTCTATGTTCTTACTAAGTATTTGAAATTTTTTTTGTAATGATGATAAACCGTGAGGTTAGAGACCATGCCTACCTTGTTGACCACACAGGCTTTTATCAGATATTTGCAAGTGAAGGAAGGGTAGAAGAAAGGGAAGAAAGAATTCATTCCTGTCCCCATGAATCAACTGGATTCGACCATGGACCCTCCTGAAGGAAAATACTGAAACCATCTTATCCTTGCAAACCATTGAGATATTGTTGAATGTGGTACAGACATGGGTCTATGAGCTCAAGAGTTCTTCCGCTAGGAAGGAAGATAATTAGATAGCTTAGAGGAGGTTCTTCTTGTTACTACTACTTCCCCACCTCTGCCTGCCCACAGATCTAATATTTCATTTAGAGGAGTATATACAGTTCTTCTATTCCATAACCACTAGTGTTAGAATCAAATGATCAGAAGTTCCAGTTTCCATGAAAATTTCAGGATTATCTAGTACAACCACATTTGGATGCCTGACTTTCTTGACTGCATCCCTACTAAGCCACCTATACTTCCCCTTAAAGCCAAAGGCTTAGAACATATCCCAAATGTGGACACTCCTATTTAGAAGTTTTCTTATATGAAGGTGATATTTTTCTCTCCAATTTTCACCTCTTTCTCTCTTCCACACTCTGAAGCCACGCATTAGATGAATACATCTAATCCTTTTTCCACATGAGGTCTTCAAATATAGAGAGAAGACATCCCTTTTAAGTCATGTGTTTTCCAAACTAAACTTCACCAAGCCCTTTGCCACTTCTCATGTAACATGTCTAGCTCATGCACCAGTCTGGTTAGTCTACTCCAAGTGACATCCAGCTGTCTATGTTTCTCTGAAAGTGTGTTGTCTAAGTCAGGTGTGACCAATGCAAAGAGCAGAAGAGCTCAGCAGCCTCATTCTAAATCCTCTATTCTCTCAATGATGCCTAATGTTGAACTGGCATTTGGGGACAGCCATTCTATACCATATTTTTACATTAAGCATACGTTCAATTCAAACTCCTAAGTTTTGTGTTTTAAACTAGTTTTAAATTCTTGCAGTTCCTAAGTCACCCTCCCTTGAGGACTTTGGACTCAAATTTCCAGAAATAATTCAGAGGATAATAATCTGGGGCTACTGTTTGCACCATTTCTTTCATTGACTAAGTTTTATGCACTGACTGCTTCAGAATATAAACAGGAGTCATCCTGAATCACATCAGAATCTAACTATATATATATATATGGCATGGCTCATACAAAACTTATAAAGAAGATTCTGAACAAAGTAGGTACAGGAAAGAGGGAAATAAAAATTTGAAGATCTAGAAGGAAATGTCCTTTCTGTATTCCTGAAACTAATCTACTGCAAAGAGATTTCAAAATTTTATGTGCACAATAGAATAGCATTCTGTTAAGGTGTATTTCAAGAAAAGTCAGTTGTATGGGATCTTAATAGATATTAAAGGAGAAATGAGAAATATCAGAATAAACAAAAATAAACAAAATAAGGCTTTTCAGAGCCTTAAATTTGCAAATGTGAATTGTGACAGCTCAGACCTAACGAAACATCAAAATTATCTCAAAAGGTTGTTAAAAATCATAAATTCCTGAACTTCACCCTGAAGATTCTGATTTAGTAGGAATATATCCTTTGAACAAGTATCTCAGGTGATTCTGAAGCTGCCAGCCAAGGAACCGCTTCGGAGAATCACTGGGATTTGACCGTGGAGAATCTGGTGATAACAATTTCTAGGGTACGTATTTTTGGCAATAATATTGATTCAATGTTACTTTTGGCTATCTAGAACATGAAAGCACCCTCGAGGCCATTTCTTTTAAAACTCTGAATGGACAGGTATCTGGAGCTTACCTTTATTTTTACTCCGAAGTTGACCTAAGAAAAACATAACCACCTTTTCCAAATAAGCTGCCTAAAGATACCAAACACGTCTGTTTCTTTAATTCTATATTAAAAACATATCTTACATAGTAAAAATAAAAGCTTTAGCCACATCAACATTTATCCTGGAAGCAGAAACAACGTAGAAGAATTATCCATAGATGTGTTGAATTGATGGCACAGTCTTAAGAGAAAAAGTGTTGAGTAAATGAGATGCTGAGTCTGGGATGAACCTTCTCTAGGACTAAGTAACTGCAGTCCCATCCTGGTGACCCTCACATTTATTTGTCATGAAATTCATTGCTAAATCAATTGTCATTATTTTTCTCCTTTTACTTAAACAATATACTTTAAAACTTCATCCTGAGAAAGTCTGTAATTTAGAGGGGGCAAACATTAAGATTGGAAGCACTTACGAATACACACTCAAGAAAAGGACAACTGAAATTTGGCAACACATAAAAATGTCACATTACTGTCACAACATTTTGCTCTTCCAAAAACAATATATAGGTCCAAAGACACACATATATCCACTTACAAATGCAGCACACACACAATCATTCTGGGAACAGCCAGCTACTATACAATGCGCATCAACAGAATGGTGCAATTCATCTCAATTATTACAGCACAAATAATACTTGCCCTCCCTTTCTCATTAATATTCTCTCAAGGGATGGCTTTCTAAAAAGAAAAAAATAAATTCATAAGAATTCCAGAATTTGAAGATAAAATAACAAGTCATATACATAGCTGAAATTAAAAAAAATACATTTTAATAAAAAGACTAAACATATGAATTTTTCTTAGTAAAATATAAGCAAGTTTCTTTTTCTTTTAAAGGTACCTGCAAAATGTGACTTCCCAAATGTGCTTCAAATACTTCAATGGCCAGGGCACTGGGGCTTCTCCTTCTTTGTGCACCTATAACTTAAAAAAAAAAGAAAGAAAGAAAGAAAAGCAAGAAAGAAAAATTAAGTTGGAGCTCTGATTCATACCTTCAGCTTAATTTCTCTCTAATTACGTCACTAGCTAGTTAATACATCAATGAGAGCTCAGAGAAACACAACCCGGTGTTAATCTTGGTTCTGAGTTGCCCAAGCATAAGAAGAACCTAGGTTGAACTTTCAACTCAGAATAACAACTTCTACACACATTAAAAACCGCATCCAGACTTTTTTTTTTAAATTTTTGTTTTGGACTGTTTTTCCTATACTGGAGCAAAAACATACGCATGTTCACATTCCTTTAAAATAAACTAACAAACTGTTTTTCTTAAAATCTAGGTATTTTTAAAGTATACACTTACTGCTTTTTCCCTCAAGATGAAACCTAAACTTTTCATATATTCCAGGCTAGGAAAAAGCAAACAGGAAATTTTTTTTTATGTTCTAATGCAATAACTTTATCATAACTTAATAAGCACAACATGTTGGATAAGAGATTCTCATTAATGACTGTTTGCACTAGTGTTAAGTGTCTCAGGATGGCTGGATTTCGTATTTACTGAATATTCTCATGTAACTATTCCTACAGGACCGCAGAGAAACCCAACAGGCTCTTGCTCAGCATGTGTCTTATGAGGTCAGTGACTGTTTTCACATCTGAATATTCCTGTTCTCCTACTAACTTCTGCTCAGTTCTTCTCTTCCCGGCCTACCCAACACATGTTATCTGCAGGCATCTGCACTCAAGAAGCCCCCCACAATCCTTAACAAAAGTGAGCTTAATGCACGATTTTTGTGGGATCCAGAATTGAGGGTCTTCTCTTTACAAATTTTTTTGCATGGGGTCACAATTTGCTTTTAAATCTGTTCTTGGTATCTTGGGAAAAAAAGGTACCCCTCTTTTTTTCAGTTCTCCAACATTAAAATCTGCTTGCTTTCCAGTAATTTATGAAAAAAAGTATTGAGATATTTTCCATATTTCCAACAAGTAAATTTTCCATGTCTTCCTGCTTTTCTTGAAAATTTTATTACAAACCTCTGCTCTCTCAAACCTAGACAGCCTGAACTGAAAATAAAATCAACGTCCCCTACTTTCTTACTTCTAAAAACACTTTCAGCTAGTTGACAAGAAAATTCCAGCAAAATGCTGGCTGGGATAATTCTGCTTCGTTTCAGTTACTAAGTCAGTCAGTTGGATCCACAGCTTAGTAGGGATTATAATATAAATGTACTTAAGATTACTGTGCTGTGAAAAAGCAGGCAGTTTACCCCTGCAATTGTGACTTAGTGTCTGCAATGTCCGAAAGGCACTTGGAAAATAGCATGAGTGTTAAGTATTATTATTACTGGCAAGAGGATATAAAAGGGGCATTTTTTCCAATGGGAAAATTTATAAAATATAACTGAAGAGTGATTATTATCAAAGAATATTCCAGCTGGAAGGGATCTTAGAGATCTCTCTTCCAACTTCCTCACTTGCTTCAGAAGCAAAATACACAATTAATAATTTTAAAATAGAAAAATCAGTTTTCTATCCTAAGACTAACCTTTACTATAAGTACAGACACAGGATTTTTAAAATTTTAATATTCAAACATACTTAAGACAGTACTAGTGTGTGTGTGTGTGTGTGTGTGTGTGTCTGATTAATTTCCTATTCTAACATGCACATTACTCCCTTCAAAACTCCTTTGGCATTTTTGATAATGCAGCTGTCTTGCTGAATACTGTTTTCAGTTTCTAGAGTGTTAATTGCACATTATGGTAGCTTGGTGTGAATGATCCCACATGAATAAAATCTGCAGACTTTTTTTTTTAAGATTGGGGGGGTGCTTTTGGGAGGGAGAAGGGGGGAGTTGAAAAACTTCAAAAGTGTCCACTCTGTTTTTGAGGCAGTAATTAGGATCCAGAAAGCTCCTTATTAATGGTTCATAATTTGGGGGCATTTCAGGACTTCTAGTTGTGAAGTTCAAAAGGAACCACTGTGCCTCACAAAAGAAAATGGGCCAATTTTAGAGAACGTAGACTATTCTACAAAGAACTAGATTAAGAGAGGGCCAGGAGAACAACAGCCACCAACCTATAGAGGACCCTAAAACATCCCAGAAAATATAAAGAGTATGTATATTTACTAGAAGGCCCAGTAACAACAGATGTTAGCTCAACTGCCTTCTAGAAGCATGGAAACAGTTGGCTTCAGTGGGGCGCTGCAGGGGTTATTCAAGCCTGGCCACTGATGGCCTTTCTTTTCCTCACTTAGGGCTCCAGCTGTTCTCTAAGTAAATGTTGCTAATGCATACACATTTAGGGATTTTATTTAAAAAACTTATTAGCCAGCCTGAGGATCCCACCAATCTTCATGAAGTCTTAAATCCATGAGTTCTACCTACATAGCTATTCTTTGTTCTTCAAATCCTCTAGAAATCTGAGTGTGCATCCCAGTACATGCAAGCATAACACACAAGTATCTTGTAAGTGATTTCATGCTATTCTATTCAATGGCATTTTTATGGCACTGGAACTTCTCTTGATTTATATGTTTTGCACTTGTGCAGGTGATGTGGGGCTGTAATGACAGTTACTAATTTTACAACCAACATAAATATGTTAAACAGGAGCCCATTATGCCCCTGGTAGAGGCCCAGCTCTGACTCTAGCATTATTGGTAACTGAATAGACGTTAAATATGTACTTCTTATCTTGCACTTTTTATCCTATTGCATTTGACATTTTGAGAATTGAGGCAATAACCTAATAACTCAGGAACAATGCAAATATAGTTATTTCGTTCCTCTGTTAATCTCATTGTGTTTAGAGAATATCATTAATGCTGAAAGAAAAACTAAAGAGGCATTTCCTCAATGAGGTCCATCATTCTCACAAAAGTAATACACTGCTTATGAAGCTCTCTCAGATTTTTGTATTTTGGAAGTTGACAGTTTCTAAAACCATTTGGTAGCCCTGACCCAATGTACACTTATTATTGCTGAATTGGTCACTGTTTCATCTGATCTATTGACATATTTCATTTACTTGCTTGTTCAGTTAAAAGACATTACTTTTTGAAATTTAAAGAACACTAACTAAATTAACCAAAAAATTGCCCAGCACACTGCTAAATAAATGGAACATATAATCTCCTCTCTGTGAAGATCATGTCCCTAACTCACTGAGAGTGAGATGTGAGAGTTGTAAAAATTGAACAGCTTATACAAACTATTAAAAGAAAAAAAAAATCAAACCACAGTAATACAGTAATTCAACTTCAAATCTGATTCAGCATTTACTGAGTACCTATTTGATGCTGGAAATTGCTAGCCACTGCAAGGTAATTAGCACTATAAAACCTAATAAACAGTCCAAGAGAAAATTTTAAGCAATTTAGAACAAACCTAGGCCCAGCATATAATTATCAACAAACACCACAACACTATTATCTAGCATTTTTCGAGGGTTAAAAATAAAACACCTAGAGTTTTAAGAGACTTTAAACCGAAGAGATACATAGGGAGAAGGATTGAAAAAAATCAACTAAAGAAATTCTGATTATCTCAGATATCTGAAATGATATTATGAATCATTAGGACTATGCATTTGGCCTTTCTCTTACCAAAAAACAAAAGACACAGAAGGCAACCACAATCTTAAACACGTATCTGAAAAATTAGTTTTGTCCCTCAACAATGTCTGCAAAAATGTTCTAATCTAGACTCTTCTGCATAACCTTGTGAGTGGTCTTTGAGAATTAATTCAGTGCAGTAAAAGACAAGCCCTCTTTCGGGAAATAGACCACACCCCCCCAGTCATAGTCCTCACCAGTGCTCATCACCTTCAGGGATGCACAAACGCCAGGAAGGCTGAGGATTAGCGCTCAGTGGGAGTTTGACCTATTCAGCCAAAAGGTCAGCTTGCCACAGAAGAACCCATTACAAACAGAAATAGGACAGCTCAGTGGACACACACAATGAAAGGGGGAAAAGTCACGAGCCCTACTTGTCTGTGTCCTGCATCGCCCTTTCTCGTTACACCTCTCCCCACCCCCACTTCCACAGAAGGTGGAGCGACCCCAGCACCTCACCAGCACAGTTCACAGAGGGACGTACACCACGGGAGGCGAGAGAGAAAGGGGCTCGTTATTGAAGGGATCAAAAGTGAAGATGAGTACGACCTGTGAGGCAGGGTTTCCAATGGATTGTTTTATTAGGAAAAAGTAATCCCGGGCAGATAGAGAAAACGATTTTAGAGAGATTTCTCATCCAGCATCCACCCCCCCAACCCCCCCCCCCCGCCACGGGGAGCAGTGTGGCAGCACAGGTGAATGTAGCCGTAAAGTTGTGCAGGTAGTATTTCAAGAATGGAATCATCCGCCCAGTAAAATGGCAAGCTTCATGCCAGGGTGGCTGCCGTGTGAGTCGGTCATCCAGGGGCAAGGCTGTTCCCACACTGAGCGTGGGGGCAGGGAGGACTAGAGAGCATGCTCAGTGGAGCCCTGGCCATCACTCCCTGGGCTTGAGCACTTGGGCTAAGCAAAGTCAGGGTCTGGGAGAGAATGGACTAGAGAATGCTTAATGAGCCTTTCCATGGCTACCAAAGAAAAGAAAAGGGATTTCCCTTGAAGAATCTCAATTAGCCTCCCTCTCTGTAGGGCAAGGGAAGCCAGGGAGGGTTTTCCCAGGAGCCTCCGAAGTTTATGAGGTATGGATTTGTGTGTGTGTCTTTGTGTGTCTGTGTTTTCCTATCAAAATAAAAACTTCTGTTTTCATTTAATACGAGACCAAATCTTCATTCTGAAACTGGTCCTCACAGATCTGCATACTGCCCACACTCACAATCGGTATCCTTTCAACTCTAAACTTCTCATTGTTTGTGCATGCCTTAGACATTGGGGGCATTTCAGGTTGGGATGGAGACAACACACTGGAAAAATTAGTGCTAGGTACCAGCTTAACCCATACAGCAGCACATTAACTGAAACTCTGTCGT